CCCCCCCCAGGGAGACAGCTATGAGCAAGAAACACCAGATGGATCCACGAACGAGACACACTCATATACGTGCACACACATCTACACTTACGTGAACGCCTCCATTAATCCACGACATGCTGGCTGCACAAACACACTCACGCACACATCTACACACACACACACACACACGCGCACACTGTTCACCGATGTGTGCATGAAAGACGAACGCATTCACGCGCACACATTCACCAATTTTGTTCACAGCCACTCGCTATCGCGATGGCATGGCAGAGCAGGGATTGGCCCATGGGATGGCGAGACATGCACTTGATGCATTGAGTGTCCTTGGTACAACTGAATGAATGGGCGGGCCATGAGATACACAATTATTTCCGGTGTTGATCAATTTCTCAATGTGCCTCGTTCGCCTCACAGTGTTCTCGCTGTCTTTCTAGCCTGTCTGTCTGTCTGCTCTGTGCCTTGAAGCATCGGGAAGGAATGTCAGCCACGAAGAGGGCCCGCCCGCTGATGCGATGCGTGTGGCCCGCTTCTTCACTTCACTACCAAATAGCCTCTCCAACCAAAGTCACCAACCAGCACACAAATTGATCGATCAGATGTTCCGGAACACACGTGTCTCGCCAAAATCCTTACACACAGAGGACTCCTTGCGCGCGCCCCCGAAAGCACGCGACACCCACGAGCCGCCCTTCCCCGCCTTTCTCACCCTCTCTCTGCACGAGACGTCCAGCAGCAGCGGCAGGGAGTCCACCATGCCCACTCGGCCGCATGACACCACGACGGTGTCCTCAAAGGAAGCCCCTAGGTCCGCTAGCCGGCCGCCCGGGCCCATCTCGAGCGCTGCGGCGTGCTGCACACGCGCTGCTGAATCGGTCTCCCTCAACACAGTGTGCACCTCGCTCCCTTGGGCCAGGTAAGATCCCTCAGTCTGCCGCATCTGCGAGTAGCGGATGTGCGCCTCGACTGCGTCGCGGCACAGCACATCGTCCAGCGAGCACCGCTCCCTCTCGCTGCTGATGATGGTGACGCTGACACCCAAGCTGTCGCGCCAAGACAGCAGGTGGTCGCGGAAAGGCATATCGCGGAAGGTGCGGGCGCCGTGCAGGATCGAGACCGTTGTGAGATTTGTGCCGAACCAGCCGTCCCGTTCGAGCAGCTCCATTGTGGCGCGGACGCCGCTGAGGCCCACCCCTGTGCTGACGAAGACCAGGTGCTGCACTTTGCCGTTGTGTGGGTGGCTCATGAAGTCCATCAGGGGGTCCTGCATCGAGTTGACGAAGCCAACAATAGACGGATTGACATACACACTCCTCACCTGCACACACACACACACACACAGAGAGAGAGAGAGAGAGATGGTTTCGCCTCTTCCCTCTGGTCATCTGTGTGGGAGTGTGTGCTCCGTCGCTTACCCTGCCAGCCGGCATTGACCGCAAAGCCCGCGCAACCACTGTCACGTTCTCGTGGAGGGACTCATCCACCTGTTGGCTTAAGACCTCCAGCACACCAGGCGGGCCCGTGTTGGCAATGGCGTATGCCTGCTCGATGTGCCAGCCCTCGACAAACACCCTCGTGACGCCGCCGGGCTGATAAGTAGCCATGAGGGCGTCCCAGTGGGGCAACGACAAGTGCAGTGTGAGGTGCTGGATCGGGCCGTATGACACACGCTCGAGCCGATCGACAGCCAGGAAGTCATCTAGAGAACGGAAACGAAGACGATGACCGAAAGCATCAGGCGGCTGATTCCTCTCTCTCCCTCTCTCTCTCTGACCATCACAATCGCTCCCAAAGTAGTTGCAGGGACACTCGAGGACGCCGCACATGTAATTGCTGAAGTTGGCATGACGCGCAGCCACAGCAGGTTCGCACCTGTCGTCGCAGCACAGCAGGCCCTCGCCCAGCGGCTGAGGGTACCGATCCCGGCGGATCTCGGGGGGCAGGCACTCATCTCTGCAGGGCGAGCTGCCTATTGGAAAACCCTGGAACTGCATGAAGAAGCCACAGGGCAGCCTCGGCTTGTTGCCGCTCAAAACGTTGATCGACCTGCACCATGCAGCCAGTGCAGTGAAAGACATCCTGACCCCAGATCTGTGTGTGCGTCTTCCCACCATAGTTCACAGGAAGTTGTGCACAGCTCGCCTTGGCAGCTGTGGACGTTCCTATCGACAAAGCAGAGGGCTCCTTCCGGCGCCTCCCGACACCATTCGCCACATGTCTGAAGTGCCACACACACACACACACACACCACACACACCCGAGCGCATCAACGTGCACCCATCTGTCTGTACAATCCATCCAGGTGCTGTGCCGCCTTGCGCACTGCACACCTGGTCGGGGAGGATGCGGAACGACGAGCCACAGGGGATGAGCCAGAAGAAGCCGAGAAGCAGCGCATCTATCAACACACTCATTGTACAATGCAGCTGCATCATACACAATACACAGACAGAACAGATCTGGGCCTAACGGCGCGTTCGGCCAGATCTCAATGGCGAGCTCAAGAAGCAAACCCTAAAACCCCACAGATGGACGACGAGAAAACTTCTAAATTCTCATCCTTCCCATCCCACCCACTCCCCTTCTTCACCCAATGGTGACACCATCATGACAGAGTCAGCCTGCCACTCGGTCCCTCTCACCGGTGAGGGACACCCTGTTCACCCCAGGGACTTCCGCTTGTCGGCTGCTGCTGAGGATCCGCCATTGGACGAGTCGGCTGTCATTGTCCGGCCAGTTTTAGAGGCCGTCTTCGCCCGACGCCTCAGGCGGCCGGGCAGCGTCGCACGGACCTTCCCTCGGGGACTTCCAGATTTTGAATACCTCGGTAAGCCTGGCAGACAAGCAAACACTTCACGGTTCCTTCTGTTTCACTGTGTCTGTTGTGTATATGAATGCAGTCAGGTTTCGCACGCAGTCGCCCCGGGGCATCAAGTGGCTTCCCTACGAGAAGCTGGCGTACAGCACGGGCTCTCTCCGGTTGCTGGACACGTTCAGCGCTGATGCGAACGCGCGTGAGAGCGATGGCGCGAGCGCTGACCCCGTAGTCGACGGTGTGGGGGGGCCTCTGGTTGAGCGCGTCATCGACAGTAGTGGTGTGTGCGCGGATCTCGCACCCGCCCTGCCCGACTGGCTGAGGGAGTGCCATAGCATTCTGGGCGCCCTTGTCACTTTCCAGAGGAGCGGGGTAAGGACAGACGCACTCACGCACACGTAGAGCACTGCTGGATGGATGGATGTGTGTGGTGCGTGTCTGTCTGTGTTGGCAGGTGTACTATTGTTTGCCGTTTCTGACCGATCGCAACCGGCCGCCCGACTGGCCGTTCACCATCAAGCATGACATGTGCCTCCAGACGATCGCCAGGAAGATCAGACTGCAGGAGTATACAGATGAGAAGGTACACACGCAGCTCGTTCACCACACGAGCGCTCTTGCATTGTGTTTCTTTCCATCGTGTGGGTGTTGTGACGTCTGTCAGGGCTTCTGGAACGATCTGGATCGCATTTGGAAGAATGTCAGCCTCTACTACGGCGTCTGTGGCGCTGTCCCCGCCAGGGCACGGCTGCTAAAGGCCCTGGCGGAGAAGGTGCGCAAAAACCGACAGACCAATGCAGCAGTCACTATGGATGCGGTGCGTTTGGCTGGCCTTTCTCTCTCGATGTGTGATATGCAGCTGCGTGAAGAGGCGTCGGCGCCGACAAACAGACGGCCCCAAGGTGCCCCCCTGCCATATGTGGATGATTATGAGGGCATCACGACGTCGGAGGCCATCCAGCACGTCACGTACTGCTCGCGGACCGCCCAGCCAGTGGACCTCTATCTCGTCAAGTGGACGGTGCGCACCCGCACGACGCACGGCATGATTGAGGCGTTACAGAACGCATCCGCCCATGTGTGCATTAATGTCTGTCTGTCTGTCTGTAGGGGTTGAGTGAGTCCCAGTGCACATGGGAGATTCTTGATCCGCTCCGAGAGGACCCCCGCACACGGCAGGCCATCGCTGAGTGCACGGCCAGGTACCTGTTTCACACCTCCCCAGCAGACCCACACGCCGGTACCTCCGCCCCATCAGCCCATCCCCCTCCCCCTCCCCCACCCGCACCGCCCGTCTACGACGGCAAATCACTGGATGGCTGGTACGCTGGCACGCGGCGGCCAGCGTATCACCCATCCAGTGATTTGCCGTCGGCTCCAACTGCTCCACCCTCATTCAAGAGTGCGCTCAGGGGCATCTTCACCAGCAGCAGTGGAAGCACCACTTCCAGCCAGAGGCAGCAGCAGCAGCAGCAGCAGCCGAGCAGCGCGGCAGCATCCACCGCAGCCAGCCCAGGAGAGAGGCAAGAGAAAGGGCAAGGGCAAGGGCAAGGGCAAGGGCAGCGGGAGGGCAACACGCGACATTTGCGCTGGGTGCGGCAGAAGGCCCGTGACCCATTTCTTAAACCTTGGTGCGACGCGGTGTTGAAGCTATGTTCCGGGCCGTTGATGCAGCCGCGCCACGCGACCCTGGCCATGATGGTTGGCGGGCTGCTGCTCACGCCCGAAGAGGGGCAGGGGCGCCTGCATGCGCTGCTGATGGCGGGGCTGCAACTGGCGGCCCGGAGCGGCGACGTGTGGGAGGCCGACGACCCTTGCTATGAGCTGATCGCCCTGCTTATCTACGACCGTCGAGTGGCCGTGGACACCGTCATGGACTGCATTGCGTCGACGTGCATTCCGCTGCGGGCGCTCAGCGCGCTCAGTCCCGACACAGAGACAGCTGAGATCCAGTCGATGGTGGGCCCCTTTGCGGTCGTGCTCAGGGCCACATGGCAGCCATTCGAGGACCTCCACCCCATCAATGTGGCCTACGAGGGCCCCATGGCACGGTTCGCCGCCGTCCTGCAGAAGGCCATGAGTGGGGTCAAAGACAGAAGGGACCTCACGGCGCTGCTCTCGCTGGATAGGAAACGGCGGGACGAAATGCGGCCGTCGGCGGGAGACGCAGAGGACTTCAAGCGCGACCTCCGCGCCGTGGAGGACAACGCCGTGTGTGAGGAGGTGAAATACCGTCTGATTGTCGATGCGGCCAAGAGCGGGCTGTGGTCCAAGCCGCCCCGTCAATTGACCTTCCCCGAGTACGTCAGCCATTGGGAGGCGGCGGCTCAGGCGGCCCTGCCAGGCTATCGCGAGTGTGTCGATCGGCACCTGCCTGCCGCCATTGAAGCCTGCCGGAACGGCCAGATGGAAAGGTTCGGGACCGTCAGGTTTGTGGCGGGGGGTCTGACCGCCATGGGCTACTCACCGCAGGCAATCCGGCGGATGAGTGACAAGAGGGCCGACCAGCTGATGGCGGATTTCTTCCGAGACCTGCTGACCAAACGGGTCAGGGAGCGAGTCATTCGGCCGACCCTGTGCCCATCCATCCATCCATCCATCAATCCATGTGTGTGTGTGCAGGGTGAGAAGTGGGCGAGTCGGATAAATTGGCGATCCGACGCTGTGAGTCGAGATTCCCAGCTGGCGGTGCTCATGTGGGTCCAGCAGGCCTGTCTCAAGCGAGAATACGTCAGTGCACCTTTCCCCCCCTCCCCCCGACTCACATCACAATCTCTCACACACGCTCACACACACGTGTGTGCATCTTGATCTGATCGCTGTTTCAGGGCATTGAGTCGAGCCCCCCTTCAAGCCGGCCCTGGGAATTCCTGTCGTATCTGTCGCCCGAAACACTTCCAAGACACCAGCAGCAGCCGGCCACACCAGCAGCAGCCAGCAGCAGCAGCAGCGGCACGTTAGCTGAGTCGCAGCTCGTGCAGAATCTGCAGCACCACATCGGCAAGTTCTCCGTCTCCCAGGCGGCGGAGCTGTGCCTCATCAAGCTGCTCGTGGCGCTGTGCAAGACGCCTGTGGATGGGAGAGAGAGAGCGGTGAGGCGGCTGGTCAGAAGCGAGCTCAGCAAGATGGTGAAAATGTCGCGGGCTGACCCCCTCGACCGACCCTTCTGCCCCACATGTGAGAAGTGACGGATGTGGGCACTCAAAACAGGACAAAGGCAACGCGACACTGCCCCTGTGTGTGTGTGTGTGTGCGTGTGCTTGCTGCCATCAGGCATGGCAGACATAGAGGAAGGTATGGAGGACATCTCTGTGCGCGACGATGAGTACGAGCCGGCCCTGCAGCAGATTGAGGCCGAGTACAAGCTGCTCATGGTTATGGCACCCCAAGACATCAGTGCCAATGCCAGTACTACTGACACACGGCCCCTCTCAGCCGCGGTCAGCCGCATCATGTCGGCCGCCTGGCGCCCCGCCAAGACCGATGAGATCTTCATCAGGGCCGACATCCGACACGCCGCGGCCTATGTGGCCAAGCTCAATGACGCCATCACCGGCATCAGCTGGGAGGACATCACAGCAATGTTCCAGCTCCAGAGAGAGGCGCTCGACGGGCTGAGAAACAAAATCAGCGACCTGTGTGAAGGGACTCGCGTCAAAGAGATGGAGAGGGAATACGTGGCACGGTGAGCAGACGAGAATAGACAGCAGGGAGCGATGAGGAGGGAGGGTGGATGGATGGATGTGTGTGTGCAGGTTGAAGTACCTCTACGCCAAGACGGCGTCAGCAGAGGAGATCCTGCGCATCTTTCTTGCCCTCAAGGAGCAAAGAGCGTCACCGCCCCCTGCCCCTCGCACCTGGTCGGCCGACACCTACACCCAGTTCCGCAGGATGGTGGCCGACGAGGTGCTCAACGGTTACCGAGCCGCCATCTCGGCCAATCTTAAGCCGATGATCGCCGCAGCGGACCTCAGCTCCTGGGACGTGTTGCTGGCCGCACTGGGCTACGACCCTGCTGCGATAGAGGGCGCCCCGGTCGGTAAGCGGCTTGAGATTGTGGAGGACTTCTTGAATGACGCGCTGCTGCATGGTGGGGAGCGGTGGAAGGGCCGACTGCCGTTCAAGAAGATCGCGCCATCAAAGATCGTCTTCTGCGTTCGGTCGGCACACCACAAGACGTTGCTCCGGGTGAGCTACAGGGAGAGAGAGAGGGAGAGGGGATTCATCTGTGTGTCTGTGGTAGTATCTCTCTATCCATCAGGAGCACAAGAGCAAGGAGTGGCATTTTCGATCGGCGATGCCCAAAGGCGACGAGCAGGACGACGCCCACATCGACCGGCCATGCTGCTATAAGTACGCACGCAGCCACCCATCCCCCCCCTCCCCCACACACACACGTGTACCCCTCCCTCCCTCCCTCTCTCTCTCTGTCTGTGTGTGTGTGTGTGTGCAGGTGCAACAAGGAGCTGTGTCTGCGGCGGTACACGGGCAAGGCGCATCTCGCGGACGCCTGCCGGCTGCGTGTGGAGTACCTCGAGAAGGTCGACGAACAGCAGTCATCTTTGGGAGGCCGCCAGCGGGACATTCGCACGGCCCTCGCAGAAGCCAAGAGCGAATACACCAAGGCCATGCAGGATCGGGGTCAGTGAGCACCACACACACACACACACACACACAAACACACACCGCACCCATAATTGTATGTGTGTGTGCAATGATTGCAGACGACTGTGCCGTCCGTCTGGTCGGTTTTCCCGACTCTGACTCAGAAGAGGGCGAGCTCGACGGCGATCAATCCTCATCTGCACCGTCACCCGTTGCAGCCATCAGGCCCGGTTTGGCCCCACACAAGCACCAGCAGGAGCAGCAGCAGAAAGGCCGTCGAAAGCCGCCCCAGCAGCAGCAGCAGCAGCAGCCCGTGAGTGCGGCAGACGAAGCCCGAGCCAAGAAGGCCGAGAGGCAGTTGCTGCGCGAGATCGGCGAGCATGTCAGCGACTCTGACGATGACATTGGTGCAGATGCAGAGGCACATCTGCAGCAACAAGACGAGGGCGGGGCTGTTGTCTCTGCGGCGGCGGCGGCGGCGGCCTCTACCAAGAAGAAGCGCAATCGGCGCAAGAACAAGGCAGCCAAGCCGCCCTCGCCCTCGCCCCCTCCCTCTCCCTCTCCCGACCATTGTTGTCCGCTATCCACCAGGCCTGATGCCACTGATAATGTCAAGCCGGGCGACACACACACGGCCACGGCCACGCCCCACCCCTCCCAGCCATCCTCTGTGCCATCGGTGCCACTAGACCCGCCGCACCAGCTCGTCGATGATGTCAATGAGCCGCCCTGCCCACAGCAGACGCAGCCTCAGCTGCCGGCGTCATCACCCAGCAGCCAACGTGAGGGTGGTGGCGAGGGTGAGGGTGAGGGAGGGGAGGGGACAGAGGGGCCTGCAGCGGCTTGCCCCATCAGGGCGGTCTCTGAGGACGACGTGTCGCGTCAGAAGGAGACGCTTGTGGGCTTGCTGCAGCAGGTGCAGGAGCTGTCAAAACAAAACGACACGTAGGGAACTATCAGACACCGGACAGACAGACAGACAGACCGACAAACACAACAACCAACATCCCCCGTGTGTGTGTGGTTGTAAGCAGGTTGTCTGACCGTGTGTTGGGATCCGATGACTTGTCGGTGCTGACGGCGTCTGCCGATGACATTCGGGCGGAGATTGCCCGCCTGCGGTCGCTGGAGGGTCAGATACACCAGCGCATCGGCCGCCTGATGTGCTCTGGGACGGGCAGCACACGGGCCGCCTGACTGAGATGGGTAGTGTGCAAACGTTGCCCGACTCACTCACAGATAGGTGGATGTGCTCATGTGGTATGTCTGCGTCGACCGACTCGACTCGATGGATGTATGGGTGGTTAAATAAGACAGGTCAGTCACAGTGATGTCTGTCGAATGATGATTGATGCGATTGTGACAACAAAGCCTTCCATGGGCATGTCCTCCTCATCGCATGCATTGTCTGTCCATGAGCATGTGTGACCTGTCTGTCTCTGTGCACGGTCTGTGACCATGGCACCACAGAGACGGACGGGTGGCACAGGCACAGACACACCCACTCACTCACTCAGACCATGGCATCTACACACCACACACACACGCATCCTCTAGATGGAGAGACAACTCGCCACAGCTGCCACAGCTGTAGTGGATGTGGAAACGGCACGACATGACACGGCACAACACACATCCACATGCACATGCATGCCCACGTCGCAGACTCTCAGACGAGAGATGATGGTCGATGTGCATCATCATGTATTGTCAAAGGTGCAGACACGCACCCTCCACGCGACGCGTGAAACGGGGAGATGTCGCATGAATGATTCATTCCAGCCGTCTTGTGTTATGGTTCTTGCACACGCATAAACAGGACGCCCTTTCGGAGCCATTGCGTTCATCGCAGTCACGAGAGCCACTCGGAGAGAGTCGTGTGTACGAATACGTAGGAGTTCCAACATTCCTTCCTACTCCAGCGTTAAACACAAAACGTCATCAGCCATGAATATCGCACTACCACCCGGCAGAGCCCGTCCATCCTCATTCCTCCTTCCCTGATAGCCGTCAGGCACGTCACGCTTTGGGATGACCTGATGACACTGACGCACGTCATCGCACCCATAAGCCAAAGACAGCGCGCCAGAATAGGGAGAGGCCAGCTCAAGCTTTCCCCGCCCATCCACTGCCCCCTCTGGAGCAAGGACACGCACTCGGTCAGGACAATCCCAGGAAGGGACGGGGATTGTCCTGGGCCGGTCGTCACCGAAGTGGCCGGAGAGGAAGAACAGCTTCACTGCGCAATAGTACTCCTTCTCCATTGCGGTGCCGTCCGGCAGCTTGATGCCGAGACTCATGGTGGCGCCGAGGACAGCGGGGCCCTTCATGACGAGGAACACCAGAGGGCTCGCATCGCCGACACAGCGCACCAAATCACTGAAGCGATGCCAGCCAGCTGAGGCCCTGTAATGAAGACATGCATCAGTGCATTAGAATATCCAGCGGACGGAATGCACGAGCACCTGCATAGCAGCTTCAGTTTGCGGTTTTGCCAGCTTCGTGGCAGGACACTTGACAGAGCCACCGCCTCCTGAATACTCAGGCCGCTGCCCTTGGGCACCTGCAGACAAATCAATGCAAACGTCTCTCTCCGGTGTGTGGCTGTGTGGGTGTGTCTGTCTTCGACCTCGAATGGAGGCCGCCAAGAGTGTCCGTCCGCGCGAAGGACTTCGAGCTCATCAGCTATGATCGTCTCACCCTGACCCGGCACCACTGCACGATGGCACCTGCGCAGATCCGCCGAAGGACCGACATGTGGGATATAGCTCGACCACTGTCTTCGCTGCTTGAAATCGCTGTAACCCAGCTGCCAAATCCCCAACTTCAACTTCGACCGGCCGCCTTGTCCATCTTCTTCGTCACACACCAGCTTCTCAAGCCCAGCGACAGACACGCGTTGGTCGGGGCGACAGCCGTAGATCATGGTCGGCTTGTCGAAGGGGCCGATGAGAGAGAAATGCGTCATCTCGCAGGAGTATGAGTGGAAGCTACCGGCCTTCGGGAGCGTCAGACCGCCGTCGATGTAGATGCCGGAGACACAGCAATCCTTCCTAATGATGAACACGATGCTGCTCGCACCACCCACATGTCTCATGAGATCACCATACTGCCAGCCATGGACAGATCCCCTACGAATGCCAACGGAGAGAGTGGGCGATTGACGACTCTGCAAGAGTGTACCTGTGTGTACCTGTATAACAACGTGAATGTGCACTCCTTGAAAGTGGATGGCACCAACATCGAGTGCAGCTTCGCAGACTGGGACTCAGTCAGACTACTCCCAGCGATCAACTACCATCAGAAGGAAGCACACAGACGTGCAGGGCGATGCCTGAATGATGCCAGACATGTGTTATATGCGTCTCACCTGCGTGTTGTCTTCGCCCTCGTCTGTCGTGGTTCGAGTTGACAGCACACTGACGTCACCAGCCTCACCATCAGACACGTCAATCACGTCACCATCCACCTGATGGCAAAACAGAGAACAACAAGATGAGCTGTGCACCGGCTGTCTTCTTTGTCTGTCTGACCTCTGGTACGTCGCTCAGCAGATCGTCAGCAGTGACGCTGCGTACGGGCTTGGCCGCGGACCGAGATGAGACCTGAATAGAGGACAAGACAAACAGCAGTGGCTGTACGGACTTCACTCGCCTCAACACATTGCTCACCACAGACGGGGCGCTCTTGAGAAAATGTGGATCATCGTTTCTCCTGGGGATCTGTTTGCGCCTTTCCCCGCTCTCCGTCCTCGTGTCCAGGGGATGCTGATGCTGAGGGAAACAAACACGCAATTGACTCCCTAATCCAGTTCCTCATTCTCAGCAGTTTACCTCCATAGTGTCAACGCTTTGCGAATGCTGCTCCGACTGCTGGTCAGCGGCACGACCAGCTGCGCCAGCTGGACGCGTGATCATCTGCAGAGCACAGAGGACATGAAGTGAGCCTTCTTTGTCTCTGCGATCTGGTGCACGACGCATCTACCGGTTGGCCTGCTTCCATATCATCGCCGAGCCCCTCATCAATCGGCTCCATCTACACGACACACACTCATGCACCCGTGAATGTGTACCTGCATTCAACTGCGCCTACCAGGCTCTCAAGGGCAGGTTGAGCTCCGCACGGCGCAGCTGCAGCTGCGGAGGGAATCTCGCCAGACACTGAACAAGATGGCCGGCACGATGTGTCTTGCGGGGAACCCTGATGCGCCCGCATGTCATCCGACTGCACGCACATCACACCCTCGGCATGAGACAGGTACAGAAATCCAGTCTCTCTCGCCTACTGTAAAGTCGTCAAGGATGTCTAAAGGAGATTGGAACCCTATAGCAGCAGCAGCACACGATGCAGGTACGTGCGGGCTCTCGCCGAACAACGAGCGTGATGGCGAATATCGGTTGGAACCGAAAGGGTCGTAGAGGTTGTTGGCCTCGTTGTCTTGGCTGGACGGCATGGGGCCGATCATGCGATCGATCGACACAAGAGGCGGGGCGTCCTGCAGACCGTTCTCCTCGTTCCCATCATGTGCTGCTCCGGCTGCTGGTGGTGGTGGGAGGCCATCGTCTGGCGGCTGGTGTGCTCCTGCTGCTGCTTGTGGTGCAAGTGGGAGATAGGGCGGCTGTTGCGATTGCAGCTGCGGCGATCCATACTGCCATGGACCTACACCGACATTGCCGTTCACCGGGCAGGTGCACTGGGGAGCGGCTGTGGGGTGCAGACCGGGCGAGTTCGCCGGCTGCTGGTAGGGAGGGACTGCTTGAGGGACCGGCGCATAGCCGTTCGTCGGACTCATGTACCCCCACCCATTGGCAGCGCCGCCATCACCATATGGGTGGCGCTGAAGGACTGCCTGAAGAGATGCTGGAGCGGACTGCCTGAAGAGATGCTCGCCATTCGGGTTGTCAAGTTCCGCCCGCACCCTTTCATCACATTCCTCGCCTCTTTCCTGACAAATCGACACGTGGAATCCACACAGACAGACATGTGAAATCGCCACCTTACCCCTCGGTCACAGTCTTGTGGATAAAATGAAGGGGGAGGAAAAGTGCCGGCAGCAGGCCTGCACACACAGGGCAGTAGACCCATAAACCAACTAATCGGAGATTCGTGATTCGTGGCTGCGTATTGCCTTACTGATGGTGTGGTGCCGGGGACGTCACGTGATGGCCGCGCTGCACGCTCGTGCCCATCGACAGGTAGCCGTCACCTTGGGGCTGTAGCGGACTGTTCTGCCAATACGCTGTCGGGTGATGGCGGGGAGGAAAGGGGGAATACAGACGAGAAACGTGTGACGGACCGTTGTGGGAAGGCGACTGAATCTCATGACGGTCCGTCAGTCGGCTCCCGTCAATTCGCTGGCAGGACCGGGGGTGCAGGTGCACGGACCCGCCTGGGCTCGCGTGCCGAGGGGGCTGTATGGCCGTCGGGGGGTAAGCCATCGACGGGTGCCTCGGAGAAGGCTGTGTGGCATGCGTGGCAGCTTGGGGATGAAATGATGGCATGGGCCTTGCCCACAGGGGATGCCGTGTTGCTGCTGCTGCGCAAGTAGGGGGGCGGGGCGGGTGCATCGGACGGGGAGGAATGGATGCTTCCCGTGAGCCAGCCACGTGTGGTGCGGCGCCGTGCTGTGAGAATGGCGTCGCTCGTGGCGGGCAGGGGACAGAAAGGCCTCTCGGCTGCGTCGTCATACGCCTCTCCCGGCGACGGCGGGCCTGGCAAAGCAATGGCAGATGGCGACCGACGTGTCTATTTGTGTGCTGCGTGTGGACGTGCGTACCTGTTTCTCTTTGTATTTCCGCATCTCTTCATGAGAAGGCCGCATCTCTTCATTAGAAGGCGTCATAGGCGCATCGCCCTTGGGCTCCGCCTTGTGCTTCTCGCGACGACGGCGGGACTGGTCTTGCTTGTATTTCCGCATCTCTTCGTGTGCGGGGGTCATGGGGGCGACGCCTTTGTGCTCGAGATGGAGGCGCACGGCCACACGCCACAGGCCTCTGCACCGGCACACAGCACACAGACACAGAGAGAGATGATGTACCGGCGGGTGTTTGAATTTGGTGTTGTTTTTCCGTCTTCTCACGTTTCGTATGCCATTCGCAGGAGGACGGGGATGGACGGGTTCTGGAGGGTCTTGCCCTTCTTGCCTGAACCAATCACAGAGAGAGAGCTTTCGTCGATGGCTCTGTCTGTGCGCCTCGCATCTCGCCGTGCTCACCGTGTCCGGACGCTCTGATGTAGTACCTCAGCAGCTCGCGGCCGGCCTCTCCCAGCGAGAACGATATGCCGTCATAAAACTCAGGGATCTAATCCCGTCCACATACACACACGCACACACAGAGAGAGAGAGGCAATTAATACCTCTGTGGCCGTTTCGTCAGTGCAGTGCATGCCTTATGGGCGTCCTCAGTCACTCACTCACCTGCGCGTCAGGCGGGATGTCGTCTATCCTCAGGTACGACTCGACCGGCTGCGACACGATCTCATGAAAGCGCTGTTCAGTTGCACCAGCACCTGCGCCATTGCTGTCGGCCACTGTCATTGGCGGTGCCAGATGCGCCGCAGGACCGCCCATCTCTGGCGCGCCATATGCATACACAGGGAGGCCGAACGGAGGTGGTGGGTAGCTCTGTGGCTGCTGCTGCTGCTGCTGCTGTAGCTGCTGTTGCTGCTGTTGCTGGTGCATGTTGTTGGTTTGGGCGTCATAGGGGTGGCCGTACATCGGTGTTGCTGATGGGGGAACGGGGGGATGGGCAGCCTGGTACTGCAACGGAAGGGCTGGTGGAGCAGTAGAGGCAGCAGCAGCAGCAGGAGAAGGCTGGTCTTGCGACGATATGGATGACACCCCTCTCAGCGACCCACTGTCGCCACTCCGTCTCGCAATGCCCTCTTCCTCACAGTCGCTGTCCCTGCCGTTGCAAAGCAGCGACTCGCGCGGCAGGGAGTCACCGTTTGCCATGTCGTCACTCTCTGAACCAACACCAACAGCAGCAGCACCGTGGCCGTCAGCCACTGGTGGGGGCGGAAACACCATGCCGCCCATCTGCAGTGGCACGGTGCCACAGCCGCCGAAATATTGGGTACGGGGCGCATACACGGGAGGGCCGTACGGATGAGCCGACAGAAAGCCCTGTGGCTGCTGCTGCTGGTACGTGTCACAAGGCTGCCCGTACAGCGGTGCTGTTAGTGGTGGGGGAGCCTTGTGACGGGCAGCGGCACCAGCAGCGGCACCAGCCAAGGGCGGCTGTTCCTGCAATGGTATAGACGACACCCCCTTCAGCGACCCACTGCCGCCCGTCGTCCCTTGAGCCATGGCCCACTTGCCCTTGATGCTCGGACCGCTCGACGACATCCGCAGACCATCACTGTCAAGGTCGCTGTCACGACGGCCGTTGTGAAGGAGCGGGGGAGGTGACCTCATGGGCTCGGACTCGCGCGGCAGCGAGTCTGAACCGTTGGGCAGACCGTTGGCGTATGTGTGTGGGGGAGGGGGGAGGGGTGCCCGGTCTGCGGCTTGTGTGGGAGGGGGGAGGGGAGGGGGAGGGAATGACGGCCGCATCGCCCAGGGAGCCACGTGGGCGAAGGGGTTGCTCTGCAGCAAGGAAGCAAAACACACATAAGACAGATGATGAATGGATCTCCCGTGCTGTCTGTCTGGCTGGCTGTGCATGTGTGTGTGTGTGTGTGTGTGTGTGTATGTGTGTGATCTCTCACCCTTGAGCGAAATCGCGCCCCCATCGCGTCGGTATTGTGAGGATTGGTGGGCGGATGGGTGGGTGCACGTATGGCAGCGGCAGCGGCAGCAGTGGGGGCCGAAGGGTCACTGAAAATGGCCTTGGCGGACGGATCATCCCCCGGGAGATCGCGAACTGTAAGCACATGCATCGACACACATGTGCTTACAGTTCAGTGTCGTTGTCCTTGGCGCACCTTGTGAAGGCTCGATGGTCTTGCCGATGAGAGAGGGCGCCTCTGATGACGGACGCAGCTTCTTCCTCAGCGATTCGTCATCCTTTCCCCCCCTGACATCTCCTCTCTGCTCCCTGAGCTGGACGAAGTAGAAGGGATCCGTCTCATCCAGCACCGTCATGCGATCGTCATCTGCCATCTCCACCAGCACCAGCCGGAAGGGCACATGTGAATCGCGCCCTTTGGTGATGGCACGGTAAGGCATGTTGCCGCGGAGCTGCATCCCCACGTGGCTTCTGGAATCTTTTTGCCCGGAGATGGTCAGCAAGTCGTCGAAACTCCACGGCCCTTGGCTTTTGTCGCCGCCGTGGCCATGGCTGCCAAAGCAACCCTGCTTTCCAGGGAATCCAAGAATGCCCGCCTTGTCCGTGTTCCTCTTCGGCGAGTCGGCCGGCTTCTTGGTTGCCTGAGAAGCCAAAAAGGCACAGGAATCATGAGAGCCTGAGGGCTCACATGACTCATTTCAAAGGCCCACCCAGAAGAAATAGTCGTCACGAGCCAGAAGGATGTTCAGCTTCTCTGCGCTAGCACTGCCAGTGCTCTCACCGGTTCTCTTCACGGAGATCTTGACTGACCACGGCGCGTTCGGTGTGCCTGGACGAATCAGCCATTGCCCGTCAAGTTTTTTCGCATCCGTTGATTTGATCTCCTCGCGCTCGTCGGGGTCAAGGTCGATGGAATACGCCATTTTCATCGAAAGATAAGCTACAGAGACCCGACTCACCACGAGGAACAGGGCTCCCATGAAACCCTCTGTCAGTGGATCGAGGACGGAACGATAGAAGGCCTGGGCAGAAGGCCTTGACAGAAGGCCCGTCCTGTGACGATGGACAAGACGGCAGGCTTGCATTGCCAAAACGCGGCGAATTCGACGCGTTGTCGTGGTAGTTGTGTTGGTCATGCTGCGCGGCGGACGAGGTGGTGGATATGGACAGGGGTCGGGTGGACTTGGTCGTGGCGGCCGAGGAGGCGGTGAGTTTGGACCTGGTCCGGCTGGTCGGTGCTTCGTCTGCGGGAGCGTCATGAACCAGCTGCGAGATGGCCGTCGTCGCTGCCCATACCACGACCAACACTTCGCAACGGTCTACCACCAGACGAGTCTCAAAGGCTGGCTGGGCATCCGCGTATGCGAGGGAGGGAGGCGGGGGAGGCGAGAAGGGAGGGAGGTTTGCGCCAAATCATGCTGCCTGTGTGTCTATTTCCGTTCAGGAGGATGGATACATCCATGGGAGCGTCAGTGACGGCATGATCTACGCCTCGCCCACACCGGAGAAGACCTTCTCCTGCGCTCGCCACAAGTACGACAGACACACAGATCTGTATGCACCACGACCCTTCCTGCATCGTCTGCATTGTGTATGTGGTTAGGGGCATCATCCTGGAGATTTCCGTCCGCCGTTCCTACCTGGACTTCACCTGCACCGAGCCTGGCAAGGTCCGCTTCAGCCCCAAAAAGGACTACAACATCAACAAGAGCGTCATGGTGGGCGATACCCCTGACTCCGTCCCTCACAGTCGCCAGTGGACCAACGAGCACATCCAGGTCAGACACCTGGTGGGATGCACCTGCGGATGCACCCCTAGCAGCGGTGGAAACGGGGTGTGAGGAGGGACAAGGAGGGGGAGGGGAGAGGAGAGGGGCTGGGGGATGGTAGCGTGGTGCTGGTGTGATTTTATCCATTCTCTTGGGTGTCCGTGTGCCTCGTGGGTCCATGTTCATGCATGCCCCTGTTTGTCTGGCTGAAGAAAACGGCACTGCAGGAGGTCTCATATATACTGTGTGTGTCTTTATGTGCACGAGGCAAATGGCCTCGTTTCTGTTTTGTCCCGCACGTCTTTTGCGTTTGTCGAGAGAGGGTGTCGCGTGTGTGTGTCGCGTGTTGGTCGATTCATGCACACAGCCCGGGCTGCCGAAGGCACTTGGGCGCCGTTTCTCTCGTGGTTGCGATGTGATGATTAGGCCGGCTTGCCTCTCGGCTGGATGGTGCTGATGTATATTTGTACACGACTGGATGGCTGGTTTTTGATTGAAGTGCGTTCCAACGAGGGCATGTAGGTAGCAACTCACCACCGTAAGCAGTGCTCACGTCTGTCTGTCTGTCTGTCTGTTGGTCTGTACGCACACATCTATCCGTCCACCCACACCTACGTGTTGAGTGCAATGTCCTTGTGTGAATGTGTGTATTTGCGTCTGTGTCACTTCTGTGTGCGCGGCTTGTGATCATGAGTCTGACAATCAGCTCACCCAGTCGGCTGCATCATCGATGCACTGGCTGGTGTGCCGATGTTGGCCCCGGTCACAGGCAGCGCATACAGGAGACACATGCACGTGTGCAAGACATTCCATGAGGACACGCAATTCAACGCCTTGTTTTTTAGTAGATCCGGTATCAGTAGACCGACATTCAGTCCGAGCATACGTACATCTGCACACACATCTGTCCGTCATCCTACCTACATCCCAACATTCGGGCGGAGATTGACCGGCTCCTGTCGCTGGAGGGTCAGATACACCAGCGCATCGGCCGCCTGATGTGCTCTGGGACGGGCAGCACACGGGCCGCCTGACTGAGATGGGTAGTGTGCAAACGTTGCCCGACTCACTCACAGATAGGTGGATGTGCTCATGTGGTATGTCTGCGTCGACCGACTCGACTCGATGGATGTATGGGTGGTTAAATAAGACAGGTCAGTCACAGTGATGTCTGTCGAATGATGATTGATGCGATTGTGACAACAAAGCCTTCCATGGGCATGTCCTCCTCATCGCATGCATTGTCTGTCCATGAGCATGTGTGACCTGTCTGTCTCTGTGCACGGTCTGTGACCATGGCACCACAGAGACGGACGGGTGGCACACGCACAGACACACCCACTCACTCACTCAGACCATGGCATCTCACACACCACACACACACGCATCCTCTAGATAGAGAGACAACTCGCCACAGCTGCCACAGCTGTAGTGACCTGTCTCTCTTCCCACAATGCATGGAAACGTTACGACATGACACGGCACAACACACATGCACACGCACATGCATGCCCAACGACGTGGGGTCTTGTGGCCTCGTTGGCGAGCTGGAAGGACTAGCCAGGCTGAGTGGCTTGAAGCGGACACCAGCCGCAGTCCACCGCCACCATGCAGCCAGATCCACGTCAGTGGTTGACTTCGATGTGGACGTGATTCCAGTCGGCCACGCTCAGCCACTGCTTCGTGGGCCCCACCTCGGCGAACGCCTCGATGTTGTAGTCTTTGTAGGGTCTGAAGCGCACCTTGCCAGGCCCAACGTCTTCCAGGTGGCAACAGCGGACGGACAGCTTCAGGAGGACGCCGCTGCACACAACATACACAAAATGCACTCACGTGCGTGTCTGCACTCTGGCGTGGCTGTGGTGCCCACCGGTTGGTGGCGTAGTCGAACGTGGCCTCTGGTGTCGGCGAGGCGTAGATCCAGCCGTCACGGCTCGGCTTGAGGCTTTCCTCCTTCTGAAGGGAGACACACGCCCACGCAGGCAACACCATGACGCGAGACACCCCTCTCTCCCTCCCTCCCTCCCTCCCTCCCTCCTCGCCTTTCCCGCCTCTCTCCGTCACATACGCAGATCTTCCGCCGGTTTTCTCCATTTGTCTGGTGCCAGAGCGTTGCGAAGTGGTCGTCCTTGTTGTATTGGCGCGCGCCCAAGCTTTTGTCATGGGTGTAAGTGACGGTCTTGCAGATGACGGTCTTGGTGCTGAAACCACCACCTCTGCCGGATCCACCACCTTTGCCGCCACGGAAGCATTTGGGCGCCATCTTTCAATTGTACAAGACGAAAAGAGCGATGAGGGACGGACACGACAACGAGGAAGCACCGGTGCCGGCGGGAGCTGATCTTTTGCGACGGCTCCTCTCTCCATTTCACAGGTCATTGTCGCTTATTGGGTCTTCGTAGTCAGGCCTTGCTTCAGACCTGCTAGGGGCAGCGGTTCCCCAGGGGATCGCGTAAACTTCGAACAGAAGCAAGCATTCAGATCGTGGGACAAGAAACATGACACAAAAGATCCTCTTAGATCAGCAGTAAGTGTCTGTAGTGACTCATCAGCGTGACATGTGTGTGCGTCTGTGTGCGTTTGTGTAGGCCAATGTATGCAATTGAGCTCGAGGACCCTCATGAACGCAACGGGGAGGTACTGTTAGGCAACAAGCTGTGCGCGAGGTGGCTTGAAGGCGCTGGCTGGCTCCTGAGTCCAGACTCCTACAATGCGCCATGGACAGTCAAGGTGCCACTGACGCGGACAGCGAGAAGCAATGCTGCACATGAGGGGGGCCGGCTGAACATTCTGCTGTGCGCATTCCGTGACAATGGCAACGTCCTCTATGAGGTGAGTGCGCAGGAAAGCCGCGTGGGGTGACTGCTGGGTTTTGCCTGTTTCCAGGTGACGGAAGCCCTGCAAGCATCCTCGGCTTCTGGCTACCTTCGCAATGGCGGTCGACGAGCGCTCCCATTGGCGGCTCCTTCGGCAGCTCAAGCTTCGGCCACACCGGGCCCTTCACCTTCGACGAGCTAAAAAACAAACATAAGAAGAAGATCAATGAAGCTTTATCGCACCCGCCCGATAGCGACAGCGTGGCCTACATGGACAACAATGACCTCCTCTGGCTGCAGCTGCGCGCCGCCGTGCCCCAGACGGTCTATCAGAGGGACAAGAAGGACAAGAGGCGTCCTGTGCCGTGCCGCCTGCTGGTGGCGCAGTGGGCAGGGGAGGGGCAGCCGAAGACGGTCCTGGCGGCAACGAAAGTGTTCTACTTCGTGCAACTCAACACGACTGCGGATGGACAGAGGAGACGGATAGATGACGAGGTGCTGAGGAGAGAGAACACATTCACTAGGGGAGTTCCCGATCTCATCGGTACGACCATCGAGCCATCCAGCGGTACGACACACCAAAGAGATGACGACATGCTGACACGTCTGTCTGTCCATCCATCTGCCTGCCTTTTGTGTGTTGTCAGTTCATCCTCTCCCGAGTGGTCGTGGTGCTCGTGAAGCTGCTCGGCAGAAGCATCGTGTGGCGCCCAAGGCACCACCACCACCACCACCACACCAACGTACCATCCTTCCCCGGCCCTCTTTCGGCATCATTCCGCGACACCCTTCCGATCCACGTATAAGTCTTCTTCCTGGCGTATTGGGAGGTCTGCCGCCTGTGAGTCCACTCTTAGCTAATCCATGGATGGCTTCCTTCATGGCAAATGGCCTTCCCCTTGGTGTCCCTCATCCGACGAGTATGGCCACGAATCGGGCCCTCGAGGCCCTGCTCGGCTTCAACATCAACGGCTTCACAGGAATCAAGGAAGGACACCAGCAGGTTACCATCTTCGTTGATGCTCGTCTTCCTTCGTCTTTGCCTCAGCGGTTGCTGAACCGACCTGCAGAAGCCCCAGTCGACGACGTGAACCGACAGGTACACACAACAGAGAATCCGACACAAGGCACTCGATATTCTCATCTTGTCTTTCTGTTCAGCCCCGAGCAGAGGCCCCTGGGTCAGCTGCAGCCACTGCCCGTCCACAGCTTTCAGCCCAGGCCCCCCCTTGCTCCTCACTCGAGAGTGAAAAGAGACCAAGTCGACAGGTACGACGGTGCATCTGCTCACAACGCTCTTGATGTTGCCTATTTTCCCTGCAGGCCACGACTTGGCCAGAAGACGAGATGTGTCAAGGGATTGCGGACCACGACGGCAGCCCGAGAGTTTCTGGCCAGAGGGCTCCCCCGGCAGCTCACCATTCTACCGGAATGGCGGTAGGGGAAGGACAAGGGGATGGATGTGTAATGGATGTTTCGATGAATGTGTGTATGTATGTGTGTGCAGTCGCTGAACCCCACTTGTGCAGTGCGTCCCCAAGAAATACACACAAAGCATCCATACATCACCTGTCTGCACGTCTCTTGTACTCAGGCTGTGGTCACCGGTCGGCTGCCGTTGTTAGTGGCTAGCTCAGCGACAACATCGGTCTCTCACTATTCGACGCGTCCCCCCCACCCCCATCCCGCAACTAGGCCCCCCGCTTCACAGCCGGCGCCACATACAACGACGACGGTCGCGGTAGCACCACCGTACGCAGCAGCACCAGCTGCAGCAGCTGCCATGGCGCATCCGCCGTCCCCACCCGCTCAGGGCGATACTGCCGTCCATGTTTGTCTTCCCCCTGTCTGCAGGCCTGCCAGTCCGTCTGTCCCTGAATCGGTGAGGGATATGGGGAACATGCCTACCCTTGTGCATCCTTGTTGGTCTTTGGTGGTAGGCGGGCGCCGAGGACTGGTATGATAGCATTTGGGCGAGCAGCCAAAGGGTAACGCACCAAACGATTAGGTTTGCAATACTGTGCAGCAAATCAGCTCCATGTGTTGTGCGCCTGGCTGGCTGCAGAGCGCTACACATCCAGTGAACGACGATGGACCTGCCGCCGACCAGCAGTCAAGGCAGCACCAGGACAGCATCAGCACATTGAGTGTAAGCCAGCAGCGCAGGCAAATCGGGAATTGGATCATGCTGTGCATTGCGGTGTCTATTTGCCTCAGCATTGCCATCCAGAGGACACGAGAATGGAATATCGTTGCATATTTCCAGCGGATCTAAGCCTGCGGATCTTGACGACCATCATGAGGCATTTCTTCCCTAATCACGTATCCATCAGCATCGACGTGAGGCTTGGAGAGATCTTGATGGTCAGTATGAGCCATTTGCTCATACTGACCATCAAGATCACTCCAAGCAATGAATGCGTTCCAAGCAAGCGGCCCCGGGATTCCATTTTCCAGGGGTGGGGTGGGAAAAAGAAAAGCCGCTCGATGGCTGGAAGCGGAAGTTGATGTAGAAGGATTAGGACATCTCTATGATAGTGTTATAATTTGTTTTTCGGGCAGTGCGGCTCTTATAGCTGATGATGTGGACATGCTTGGCGTGGTTCAGACTTTTGTCTCTTGACATGTATGGAATGCATGATTGAAAGCAGGACAGAGCAAGTCGATGGATGGGATGACGCCAATTGATGAACAAACCAGTCCCATGCATGTACACATCTATCTACGCACATCCTCAAGTCCCAGCACTACTTGCTCCCTCTTGCCTCTCTCATCATGGCCACCGTCACCCCCACTGTCAGCAGCACGAAACCTACTCGCCATCAACCTGGCCCTGTCCACCCTCGACTTGCCCCGCCACTCGCCCAGCATCTCAGACTCATCTATGTCAGACTCCAAAGCCATCTCTGACCCGCTCTCCTCTCCCCCACCATCCTCCTCCTCTCTCTCCTCATCGTGGTCACGCCCGCGTGCCCCTGTGGCTTCCCTTTCTGGCCGGTCGCTTGGTCGACGAGCGTCCTGCTGGGGGGCCTCAGCCGTGAAGAAGGCGAATCGGCCACCGGAGGACATCACCGGCGGCGGCGGGGGGCCCCCAGCCTCGCCCGATCGATCACCATCACCATTATCATCGTCGTCAAGCTGTGTGAGGTCGACATGGGCCGCCTTGCGCTTCTGCCCCAGCAGCCGGGGGTGCAGCGGCAGCGGCTGAGACGACTCATGGTCCAGCACTATCGCGTTGTCCTCACCAAAGCCGCTCACTTTGCCGTAGACGGGATGCAGCCCGCCCGCCCCTTCCCGCCGCCACGCTGACTTGCGGCAGCTGTCGGTCCAAGTGAAGGAGCCCAGCGGGCGAGAGGAAGGAGGGGCGTCATCAGCAGCTTGCTGCTGCTGGGCGGGATGAGACGGCTCGGGCAGAGAGGGGGGAGGGTGAAAAGAAAGGGAGACGGCCGGGGGTGGGGCATCGTCAGAGGACGCAGCAGCAGGTTGGCCGATGAATGCGCGCCCACCCTGTTGTTTGTAGCGGAGCGTCTCCGTCTCCCTGCGGCTCTTGGCCATCTCCTTTTTCTGCTGGAAGGCCCGCCATGACGACACTCGCTCGTCAAATGCATCCTGGTTCTCCTCCTTGTGCTGCCGCAGGGCATCATGTCTGGCATGAGATGACAACAGAGAGAGGCAAGAACGACACAGTGTCACTGCGGTTGGTAGGACGGACAGGTCTTCCTTACCGTCTTTGCACGGCGTCATCTTTCCGCTCTTTTCGCCTCCGCTGGGCATCACGCTGGCCCTCACGACGCGCCTCCCACGCACGGACCTCCTGACACACACACACACACACACACTGCTGATGGTCCTGGATGTGGTGGCTGCCCACTTGCCTGTCGGAATTTCTCTTCCTCAGCGGCGAACGCCTGTTCCATCTCCTCGATGGTCGCCTTCTCCCACCACCGCACGAAACTCGATGATCCACCCTGCACCCAGCACACAGACAGACAAAGGATGCTAGGACGGTGCTGACGGCTTCTCATCTGTTGTGTGACGGCACCTTTTGGTGTAGGTATGAGTCGAAGCTATTGCTGGCGCCGCCTCTGCCATGGCCAGTGGCGGCGTGAAGAGCCCGCTCCTGCTCGGATGCATCGCTCAGCACTTGGAGAGCGCCAAACACCACCCGAAACGCGTCAGACGCCCTGGCAACACACACACACACACACGCACACACACAGAGGGAAAAGAACAGATCATCGGCAGTTCAATGTGTCGCTTCATCTCTGTGTAGCTGAGCACATACTTTGGATGGGTGCATTTGTCGGGATGGACGAGGAGGCTGATGCGCTTGTAGGCCTTGCGCACCACGTCGGTGTCGGTTATCCACTGCGGCTGCAGCTCCAGCACCTCGTATGCGCTGCGCGCCGACAACACACGCTCAACCACCGCCTCACTCATCCCTTCTCTCCCTCCCGGATTTTGCTAGCTCGCAGGAGGTGGCTAGGGTGCTCCGTGAAACCGCTGCATTGGAACCCTAGCCTCGATTCTCGAGAAGGACCTGAGAAGGCTTTTGCTGTTCCGTGGATAGCGCTCTCCATCGCATCATCGCATCTGTGTCCATTGCACCCTTTATCGCATTCATTTATATCTTCTCGCCTTCCCGCCGCAATGGCTGAGTCATTCACCCTCCGTGACTTCATCACCCTGGGTGGCCTGGCAGGTATCCACACACAGCGAACGAAGCGCTCACCGTCACATCCCACACACAGAGAGGAAGAGAGAGATAGATCTGCATTCTTGCATGTGCTGTGCTTGAGCGATGGTGGATGCTTGTGTGTGTGTGTGTCTGTCTGTCTGTCTGCTTTAGGTCTGATGCTGATGGTGCTTTTCCAGAACATGGCCATCACCGACCTCAGAAGATCCCTCCAGCAGCAGGGGAATGTTGATCTGCCGGCCGCACACCCACATGTAAGCACCCAACAGGTGGAAACCGCACAAGGACTCTCACCCACTCTCTGGTTGGTTGTCTGTGCTGCAGGTGCGCCGCCTTCAGGTCAACGAAACCGCGGCTGGTGTCGCAAACGAGACGGCCGAGGGCTCAGAGTTTCCCGTGCGCGACGCCGTCAAGGAGCAGTGCCCCGTCCTCTATGACACCGTCAAGCTCGCCCTGCGCGAAGATCTCACCAACGAGTTGGGCTACGAGGCCGACGACGAGACGGGCGTGCTCAGGACGATTGATGGCGAAGACGGGACGGTGGTGCAGGTCAAGGAGTACTACGACGCCATTGGCATGTTCGATTTGCTCACAGCGCCGCTCGACGACCTTTACAAGGTGAGAAGTAGCACACACACACACACACACACACACACAAACAGAGAGAGAGGGAGAGAGAGGGCGAGAGGGCGAGGGTCATGTGTGTGTGGTTGGTGTGGTCAGATGGACACGCTGTATTTGACGTTTGGCGAGGACGATCGCTTCGAGAAGCTCTACACGGTCGAGGAGGTCACGCGGGACCTGGTCGACCCTCTCGTCGAGATCCGATTCCACGGCGGCGACATGCTCCGCATGGTCCCTGAGGTAAAGAAACCCGACACGGTACCCATCCACCCCATAGCACCCTGCTCACGTGTCTGTGTCCGCTATCGAGTCCAGGGTGCCAACCTTTACGACAAGGACGACATGGAAATCCCCATCGCCGTGTTTGCGGGCCCCGAGTACGACCCCGAGAGCGACCTCCTGATCACTGTGGACGAGTACCTCAACAGCACGGCCGCGGCCGGGACAAACGCCACTGACGGCGACTCGACACGCAGACTGCAGTAAGGGACGGACGGAGGAAACGGACGGAGTGCGTGTGTGCATGTTGGGCGTGTGTGTGTGTGTGTGTGTGTGTCTCAGGCTGTCACGTTCGTTCGGCTCGACCCGTGGTCAGGTGGGCAATCAGGTCTTCTTCAACACCGGCTCTTACACCTCACGTGAGCATACGGGGCGGCCGGCCGGGAGCACAAGACAGACAGACAGACAGACAGACAGACAAGGACGATGGCAACGTGTGTGTGCGTGTGTGCGTGTAGGCCGCTCACTGGGCCCGGTGACGAATTTCAGAGCTCAGCGGTTCCAGGCCATGGCGTCGGGCGGGTAAGGCCGGGCCGGCAGAGAGAGGGATCTGCACTGCAGACCACACAAATGGAATGACACGTGGGCACCTCTGTGTGTGTGGTGTGTGCAGTCGCTGCCGTGGCACAGCTGGCCAGTGCAGAGGGACCGGGCGATAGACACGCGTGAATTGCAGTCGGTGTCTCGTCCGTCGTGCGCCTGTTCTTTTCTCTCGCCTTGGTTCCTTTTCGGTTGGTTGGCCTCCTCTTCTCAATCTCACCTCCCTTCCTCTCCCTCCTCTCTGTCTCTGTTTTGCATGGATGGCGTCTTCTGTCGCGCATTTACGTGTGCGCCTTCTAGAAGATTCCATCCACTCAGACAAAGGCCGAGAGATGGATGGATGGTTGCATGTCAGAGTCTAGCCTCTCTCTTGTCCCAGTACGTGTACGTTTGTATGCATGTGTGTGTGTGTCTGTGTGTAACCAGCTAGCTATGAAAGTGATGGTAGAGATAGGCAAACCAAACGGGGTTTTATGGGCCCTTCCTTCGGTGCGTGGCTTGTGGCGGCTTGGTAGCGGCAGCCAGGTTGCGTTTTTTGTGGCTGTGGTGATCGTGCTTTATGTGAGTGCATCGATCGCCGCAACCATCGATGTGGGTGGGGATGGGACATTCATGCGTTTGACATGCATCGTATACAACACGATGATGATTAACGTCCGTGTTCCGCTCTGTCAAACCCCAGCCGGGTGTGCATACACTTATTCATGTGTCTGTGTTTCATTGGCCAACGAGTGGATGTCTGCTCATCACCGAGCAGACCTGTGTCTGGTGTGAGAGATAGGGGTGTGTCCGTGTGTGCGAATGCATGCGCGAGGGGCGGCTGGCAAGGTAGACAGAGCCTTTGTCGATTATTTCATTGATTCATCGGACAGTGAATTAAGTCAGGGCACACGCACCATCACACATCTGGCCATCGGGTCAGACAAAAAGATAAACTGACTGACTATAGCTCCGATCGTTGGCCAACGCACGGATGCTCCATCCATCCAGCCGCCCACCGCCCACCCACATGGAGCCCATAAAAAGGTCAGAAAGACACACAGCCTACGCCATCGCCAGCCCAGAGCAGTCCAGCCCCCCACGCCGCACCCGCCCACCATCTGATTGATCCATCTGATTGATGGATGGATGCAAGCATGCATGGCCTTTCCACCCAACCACACCCTGCTCACACACGGGTTATGAACCCAGGCGCCACACCCCCAGGCGGCACACTTGGCTGCACACCCCCAGGCGGCACACCAGGCTGCGGCACACCTACCGCCACACCGCCGGGCTGCTGCACCGACATCTGCACCCCCTGGGCCGGCGCCTGGGCCGGGTGCTGATACGCATACTGATACCGTGGCAATAACACGGCTGACATGGGCCGTGGCTGCCGGAAATCACAGCAGCAAAAGCGGAGCAGACAGATGCCCATCACGACAAGGCCCACTCCAAAAGCCGCTGCCCCAGCTGCCATGGCACTCGTCCCGTCAGATTTCTGAGCCTTGACATCTTGCTCAGGGTTGAAGATCTTGTAGCAATGCGGCTTGTTGCCGCATCGGTACCACCAAGCGACATCCCCCTTGCCGTCCCTAATCCTCCAGCAGTCCACAACTTGGCCTTTCTCAAACGTCTCCAGATGCAGCGTCTGGACTGGACAGGAGCCGTCACGGCCGGGCTGTGACTTCGTCTCGGTAATCGAGGTGTAGGGCCCAAGAATGCCGGCCATGAAGCTGTACGTGTACTTGTCTTCGCAGGTGACGTCATTGTTGTCTCTGCCGCCACTTATAGTCATGTTCACCTCGATGTCTATGATGGTGCACACTCGGCCGAGGGCTTCGAAATCATCATTGGGGTTGAGGGCGTCCGCCTGGATCTTCCGACTCGCGCCGACAGAGTAGAGGAGTACACCAAAGATGCTGAAACAGACAGCGCTGATGCAACAGACAACGTCCAGCCATTGCCGCCGGGTAAGACCACACGGTGCCCACCAGCCTTGGGTCCCGGAGAACGTCGTCCACACGCACATACTGCTGACGGAAAGTACTGCTGCACCAGCGCACTCCAGGGGGAGCCTTCCTGTCTTCTCTCGAGGGGAAGGAGGGAGAGAACGAGAGATTCCTCTGCGAGCTTATGGGTCTGAGCTCGCACCCTTCTCCATTGAGGAAATGATGTGCACCTCTGTGTCAGTCCGTCACGCACATTCGCGACGTATTCGTGTCTGTCTGTCTGTCCGCCGCATCCATCCATCCATCCATCAGTGGTCCCCCATTGACTCACACGCCTGCACAACACGTACACACACCGAGCACGCCATCAGCCATCAACACACGCCCTGCCTCTCTGTGTATCTGCACCTGTCTCGTCCGTTCGCTTGTTCATGCCGTCCTCTTGTGCTGTTTGTTGTGTGTGGCGCCTCTGAAGCTCATCTCTGCCTGCGTGGGCGGCGTGGCGTGGTGTGCGGCCGCGCTGCGGACAATGACGACCGGCCCGCCAAACGGCACACTGACGGGCGCGGGCGGCTGCTGCTGAGCTGCCGGAGCCGCCGCCTTGCCAGCAGCCTGGCCGGGGAACCTGTTGATTGATTGATTCATCCATCAGTCGACACACGTGAGACACACACAGAGAGAGAGGGGGGGAGGATTGTGTTGTGTGATGTGTGGTGTCTGACTGACTGGAGTTGGAGGTTGACTGCGTTTTCCGCGCCGCTTTCGATGTGTTGGAGTTTGTCCTGCGAGGCCTTGAGCGCCGACTGCAGCGCCGACCTGTCGTTCAACACTGACACACACACACATACGTAAGGAGAGAGATGGATGTGTGGCTGGCATGTGTGTCTGTCTGTGTGTGTTACCCTTTGCGGGTTGTGCGTTGAGTCTGTTGGTTTGTTCCTGAAGTGTTGCCACTCCGACCTGAGCCGCACTCAGCTGAGACTCAGCTGCCGACGACACAACGCCAAATATCACACACACAGCCACATGTGAGTGTCTCTCCCTCTCTCTCTGTGTGTCTCTGTCTGTGTCACGTTGTGTCTGTGTGGCTGCCGCCGCGCCCTCTTCCTCCTCCTCCTCCTCCTCCTCGGTCGGCACACCACCCACTGCTGCTGCGGCTGGTGCTGGTGGCTGTGCGGCTGGCGGCGCCATCATCGGAGCGGCGGCTTGAGGCTGAGGCACACCAATGGCACTCCCCAACACACCCTCCAGACCTCTGAAGACACACAGAGAAAGAGGATTAATTCATCGGATGTCTGTGTGAGTGTCATTGTGGTGCTCACGGGATGAGTGCGTGCGATGGCGTGCAGACGACAGCCGCGACAGTCACCAGCCAAAGCAGACGAGCAGCCGACGTCATAGTGACTGTGACTGTGGTTTGATTGATGTCGTCGTGGGCCAAGCAGACACCAAGACAGAGACAGTCAGATGTTTGTCAATGTCACTGAGACAATCAGAGCGGGGCAATGTGCGTGTGAGTGTGTCTCTGTGTTGCCTTTGTCCGTTTGTTTGTGTGCATTCGTATGCTCATACGTCACATCGACCGACCGACCATCCTTAATTGATTCACTGATCAGTGAGTGTTTCGAGACCGTCGCTGCTGACTGTCGTGTGCTAACGTGTCTCTCTCACCCACACACCACGCACAACGCACGACGCAGACTAACCGACAACCAACAAGACAGGCGCATGCAGGCCCCCACACCACACACACAAAATCGTGGCCACCATACCCCCGACAACCGTCCGTGTGTGTCTCGAGCGCGTGTGTCTGCAGCCAGGCAGGTAGCTACCGTGTTGCATGCCTCCCCGACGGGTAACGTGTTGATGCTGACGGTATCATCCACCGGCACCAAGCCGTTAGCACTCGCAGAGGCATACACCCACGGTAACAAAGCGCCCACCATATCACACTGATATGGGAGGTGTGTGTAAGTGTGTGTGTGTGTGTGGTGTGTCTAGCAGCTCGTTCCGCGACTCGTCAGAGAGATATCAGCCAGAGAGCCATACACACGTACAAGCAGACACGAGATCGATCTCTCTACGCGTAACTGCATTCATCCAACAGACAGGGCGTTGTGTCCGTCCACAGCCACACCACGGCCACCACCAAAGCCACCCACCAACCCCACACGCCACACACACGATCGTTGCCGGTTCCGTGTCGCCAGAATGGTGTGTGTGTGTGGGTGTGCAGGTGCGTGCAGAGTGACGAGAGAGACAGAGAGAGAGAGAGAGAGAGAGAGGACAGCAAAGAGTTTTGCCAGTCCGTCATTCGTCTCATGTCGATGGGTGCAGTGGCAGCGGGAAGCAGATGAGATGGCTCTGCAAAACTTGGCTGGATGGATCAGTGGACGGATGAATGGTGGATGGGATGCGCCAGACAGAGACAGACACAGGATGAGCGAGACGAAGGAGAAGAAGAATCAGAGGTGGTGAGTGTAGTGTGCTGTTTGAAAAGCAATATACAAAACGACGGCATCCATGATGTGTCCCTCCACACATGCTTCGAGATAAGATGCACAGCAGCAGCAGCAGCAGCAAGAGAACCAGAAATATGGCACCAACAGAAACTAGCTAGGTAGGAAAGTGCCGGGTTGGTCAAAATTGGCTGGCTGGTTGCACGACGAACGAATGAACCAATGACGGCCGGTCAGCCGATGGATGGCGCATTCACACACACACACACACACACACACGGCGCCGGAAACGCATGTTGTGTGTGTCCATGGGGAAAGAAATGAAGGCAGGCTGGCAGGCAGGCACTCCGTGCGTGTGTGCATTCAAGAGGCCTCTCACCAGGGCGGGCAAGCGATAGGTGCAAAATTGACCCGCCCGGCAGTCGGCCCCTTGTTCTGTCTGTTTCGTCTTGTCTCTGCTAGTGCGTCGTCTCGTCGCGTGGATGTGTGTGGCCTCTCTCTTTCTCTCTAGCTATGGATCGGTCGGTCGGGCAGTCGGACAGTCTACGTACACCACAGACACCACAGACAAGACACACTCACAGCCAGGCAGCCAGGCCCCACCGCCACCACCCACCACCCACCATCCCTCCAAAACACCCCAGGCACGTTTGATAGACACTTAGTTGGCCGTTTGAATGTCGTATGGACATCCCACCACGGCCCGCCTGGAAGCAGGAGGGGGGAGAGAGAGGGAGGGAGGAGGAACCTCTTGCACCCACCCACACACACACACACAGAGCAGTACGGACACACCAATGCAGACAGACAGACAGACAGACAGGGAGGGAGGGAGAGAGCGGCCGGTCGGACGGACATTAGATAGGGGCAGGCAGGCAGGCAGGCAGGCAGGTCACTCGAATTAGGAGGTAAGCAAGGCAGACAAACCAGAGAGTGTCTACGTGTTTATGAAGGTATGGACGCATCCATGGCAGGCTTGCAGGCAGGAAGTGTTCAGATGAGTCAGGTAGTCAGTTACTGCGGTACGTACCCCCACACCACACCATGCCACCCCACCAAAACCCGTCCGACCCATCCGCCCACGTGTTGCTGCAACCAACACACCAATAACGTCGTTGCTGCTGTGCCCTTATATGATACACCTCACACATACTAGACAGACAGACAGACAGACGGCAGACAGACAGACAGACGGACAAACCATCACCACACCAGAACAGCCGCACACACACCGACAGAGTGACAGGCAAAGTTCTTTGTGTATGTGTGGCTGCCAAAGACTTTGCGAGCGCCGAGCGGCCACGTCATTTTGGCAGGGGAGGGGGTGGGAGGGGAGGGGAGCTTCCTGTCTGCCCGCCCGCATATATGGACCATTGTGTGCTACGTCGGCCAATATACGAGAAAAAGTCGGAGGCCGATAGAGATGATTCGATGGATAGGCCTGATCTGCTATGCTATGCTAGCACCATGGAAGTACTTGCATCCCTCGGTCTCTCTCTCTCTCTCTCTCTTACTCGTCCGCTCGGTCGGTCGCTCTCCAAGGCGGGCCGGTAGGCCGCTGTAAAAGCACATCTGAATAAGAGAATTGCGTGGACTCTCTCTCTCTCGCCTATCTCTCCCTGTCTCTCTGTGGAAGTCTGTCTGTCTGTCTTTCTGGGGGTGGGTGGGTCAACGACAAGGAACACTCAGTCAGTGGTCAGCCAGACGTCTCTCCACATCCCATACACCCACGCCATCCACACACACATTCAGACACCTGTACACCAACCACAACAGGTCGCCAGCCAGCCATCCGACGCATCAGCCATCCAGCCCGAAGCAGCAAGCCAACCACCGAGTCAGCCATGAGATACCGCCCGCCTGCCTTCGCCCATCCACCCCACCAAACGTCAGGCACCCAGTCAGTCGGCCAGTCCGTCCGTCGCGAGTCGCCCCTGTTTGATTTCTACAGGTTCGAGACAACCAGCCGCACAGCGCTAGCTAGAGCATCCAGCAGCCACGCACGGACACACAGCGAGACGGACACCTGACTGGATGACTGGATGACGCAGAGAGGGACGGACAGAAGGACAGGCAGGGCACACAGAGGGAGGGCCTGGCTGTGATGGGCTAACTGGGCTGGCTCACACACGAGAGAGGTACGACGAAGGCAAAGGAAGATACAGATGGAGAGGCACACGACAGAAGGATGACCGGCCAACTGTCTGCAAAACCCCTCCGACCGTCGGTCAGATCGGACAGATATCCGGTATATAGACAGAAAAGTATGCAAGCGCATCGCGCACAAGAAAGATAGGCCACAGAGTTTCCTCCACGCCAATACGCCCTTCGACCATTTACGCGACCGACCGTGCGACACATACAGACAGAGAGAGAAGAGCAAGAGAAAGAGAAAGAGACAAGAAAGTTCCGTTTTAGGTCTGTCCGCTCGCCGTGCAGCTACCTTTTCACACACCTCTGTATGTGTCCATGCAGTGGTCAAACAAACGCGCCTATGGCGGGCAAAGCAGAAAGGAAACAGAAAGTGCTGTCTGTGAGTGGTGCATGTGAAAAACACCGAAAGCATATATACACACACACACACACATCAAAAGGCGAACAGAAACAAAAGAAGCGGCTAAAAAAATCCCGCCAGAAACGAACACAGCGTGTAAGGATGATGCAGGGAGGGGGGGCAGCATCTACACATCCATCCATCCATCCATCAGGTCATGTATCGCAGACAGAGAGGAAGGCACGTGCACTGTGTGTGTGTGTATGTGTGTGTTCTCACTGATATATTCACCCACGCACTCTCACGTCAACAAATGGCGGGGGCCAGCCAGACAGGCAGGGAGAGGGAGGTAGGGAGGGAGAGACGGATGGCCAGCAGAAGCAGAGGTCGGGGAGAATGCATCAGCCAGCGACAGACAGACAGATGGACGCATGCCGCTGATGACGCAAAGTCCCTTCCTCGCCATGCATGCCATTTCCCTCCCCCGCCCCTCTCACGATAGATACGACACACGCGACGTTGAAAACCCATCCATTCGTACACAGACGGGACGATGCAGACAGAGAGCCCCCAGTCCATTCCCCGACACCAAGACAGCCAGACAGGTAGCACCCAGATATCGACAGTCG